TCGTCCTCGCCCTCAGCATCCCTCCCCAAGACCGAGCGTCTTGGTAACTGGGGTTGTGGACCTGAGGCCGCCATGCCTGGGTGATGGGCCAGTGGCCTACTGGATGCCTTTTCGAATATGGGTGGTGGAAGTTTTTCGTAGGCCTCTTGGAGAGCTCTTGGGGGCTCTTGGGTACTTCGTGGTTGCCTGTTGGGGCCTCCGCATCGTCCTCCTCCTCCTCCTCATCATCATCAGCGTGGTCGTCGGGCTTCTAGGGAAGTACTTGAAGGCCCATTCGAGTCCTGCTTGACAGGCGCTTTGGGACAGATGTTGCGCGCGGGGAGAGAAGCCTGAGGAATCATGTTATCGGAGAGCTTTCTGGTAACATGATGGCGTGTATGAGGGCCCGTTGGGGGGCTGCCCGGCAAGCATTTTGGAACGCATGGTTGGGGCCGGGGGCGGGCGCCGCGTGGAAATGGCTTTCCGCGCAATGTTGTCGCGTAGTGGTTTCGCTTCATGCGTTTCCGTTGTCGACACGCAAACTCGAGAAGGGATTCATTACTGCGAGGCCTGGGGGCGCTGCCAAGCACCTCGATCGGGCGATGGGCAATGGCAATGCTGCAGATGTCCGCGGTAACGCTACTGTGCCAAGGGTTGCGTCGTGCCTCCCTGCGCTGTGCTGCACCGCACTGGGACATGAAACGGAACGCGCCACGTAGTGCATTTGCGTAGGGTATCTACTTACTGTATTTACGTAGTGTTATATTATGTGTTGCGTATGTTTGTTTACGTATTGCATGTTTGTAGTGTATCTGCGTAGTGTATTTGCGTAGTGCAGTTGGAAAGTGTATCCTACGTGTTGTGTTCTACGTAGTGCGTTTGCGTAGTGTGTTGGCGCAGTGTGTTGGCGTAGTAAGTTGGCGTAGTGTTCCTGCGTGGTGCATTTGCGTAGTGTGTTTGTGCATGCTATTTGCGTCGCCGGTTGGCATGCAATGCCTGCGTGGACTGTTTGCGCAATGTATTGCTCGGAATGCTTTGCGCCGCTTGAAGTTAGCTTTCCGCGTAGTGTTGTCGGCTAATGTGTTCGCGTCATGCGTTTCCGTGGTCGACCCGCACACTCGGTAAGGGATTCATAACTGCGAGGCCTGGCGGCTCTGCCAAGCACCTCGATCGGGCGATGGGCAAAGGCGATGCTGCAGATGTCCGCGGTAACGCTACTGTGCCAAGGGTTGCGTCGTGCTCCCCTGCGCTGTGCCGCGCCGCATTCGGACATGGCAGGGAACGCGGCACGTAGTGTCTTTGCGTAGTGCATTTTCGTACTGTATGTACGTAGTGTATCTGCTTATGGTGTATTGGCGTAGAGTATTTACGTAATTTATCTACGCAGTGTATTTGCGTAGCGTATTCGCGCAGTGTATTTCGTAGTGTAATTGCGTATTGTATTTGGGTAGCGAGTTCTACTCAGCGTATTTTACGTAGGGCGTTTGCGTAGTGTGTTGGCGCAGTGTGTTGGCATAGTGAGTTGGCGTAGTGTTCCTGCGTGGTGTATGTTCGTAGTGCTGTCGTGTATGATACTCGCATCGCCGTTTGGCGTGCAGTGCTTGCGTGGAATAATCGCGTAGTGGATTTGCGTAGTGTATTTCGCTCGCGTGGTGTCTTTCGCACCGAAAATGGGCGTAACGCTTTTGCATACAAGCTTTCCGCGCCATGTTTTCGCGTAGCGTTTTCGCGTCATGCTGTTGCGCCTGAGTGTGAACTAGCATACGTAGTGGAGTGCGTCGTGTTTCACGTGGTGTGTTTGCGTAGTGTTCACGTCGTGTGTCTGCGTAGTGTATGTACGTAGTGAATTCACGTAGTGTCAATTTCACGTTTGAGCTTCGTAAGGGTGTAACATAATATACGTAGTGTTTACTTGAGTGCATCAACATCTTGTAAGTGCGTAGTGTGTTTTGCGTAGTTTCTATGTCACATTTAAGCTGTTATACTGTAACATCAATGTTCTTTTGCCCCTGAGCACCCTGAGCATCACCGTCGGCTATAACCCACAACCCAGACACTGTTGCGGGAAGGACAGACGGAGGCCACACAATGCATCCATCTATATATATGTGTGCACACACATGTAAATCAATATTCATAGACAGACAGGCACATCTCGATGTGCAGGCGTGTGCATATGCACATGTACTTGTGACTGTATACATGTAAAGGTGTACAGATGTATGGCAACGCGTGTCTGTATGTACGTGTGTATCAAGGTACGTGTATACTCATACACGCACGCATGCATGCAATCATGTACGTATGCATGCATGCAACTATACGCATAGGTCTATAGATGCACGTGTATACGTGTATATACAAGTGTGTGCATGTCTGTATGTGTGTACGTATGCATGCCTGATTGTATGCGTGCAGGTATACATGTATGTGTGTATGTAAATGTGCATGTACAGGTATGCAGGTATGCATGCATGCATGCATGTACGTGTGTATGTTGAGATGGCTGCATGCATGCATGCGTGCATGTATATATATATATATATATATATATATATATATATATGTGTATGTATGCATGTGTGTATGTATGGTTGAATGCATGTGTGTATGTGTATGTGTGTATGTTTGTATGTAAGTAGGTAGGTGTGTATGTAGGCGTGTGCATGTATATATATATATATATGTATGCATTAATATATGCATGCCTGCATGTGTGTTCGCATGCATATGTATATTCATGCATGCGTGCATGCATGTATCTATGTTGTGTATGCATACATGCATGTATGCATGTATGCCTCTATGCATGCATGCATGCATGCAAGTATGTACGGTGCGCGTGTATGTATACATGCATACGCCCATGCTCGTATGCACGCACGCACGCGTGTGTATATACACGTACATGTATATACATAGACACATCGGCTACTATCTATACTACTTGCGTGCATCAATACCCACAACCTGCCAGGGTCCCCGACGATCGATCATTCGAGGACGAGAACGAAGTCATGCCAGGATTGGCGCAGGACAGGGCTGGACCTAGACGTTGTTATTCGTTTTGCGTTCGTTTTGATCTGCGTTTTGCTCCACCAGTTTTCCTGTACCTCCCTTCCAGAACGAGAAACAAAGCACCGCCGAAACCCAGCAAAACAGCTTGTAGGTCCAGCCCTGGCGCAGGATGCGCTCCAAGAGTTCCAGGGTACCTGGCGGCCCTCGCTTCTGCAGCCCGCGCCGAATATCAGCAACAACCTCAGGGATCATGGACACCTCGGAACGTACCCAGAAGAAGAAGACACTGCATGGACAGAAACTTTCGGACATCCGCGACCTCCCTCCCTGGCGCGCGGAGCGCGCCAGGGGAGTCGCCGGAGGCGCCGCCAGGAGGGCCCAGGCGCTGATCCGAGAACTCCGCGCGCACCTCTGAAAATTCACGTTTGCGCCGATTTTTGCTGCTCGAATGTCATCGTGACCTCTTGCTCTTCTTATGCCCAAGGCCCCTCGGCAACGGGCTGGTCTCGCTCCTACGGCGTGGAGGAAGAGGATGGCTCGGTTCCCGGGTTCGCCCTTCCTTCGCGCCCCCTGACCGTCCCCATTCCCTGTCGCTGCACTCGTCGGCCCAGCCCACGGCCGGCCCGAGCCGTTGTCCATGATGCCCCCGCCCCGCCCACCTCGATAGTGTGTGCTGAGGGGCGGCGACGGCTGCACGTGACTGCAGGACAGAGGCCGCCAGCTTCGATGTTTCGAGGAGGAGGGTGCGCGGACGAGAGGGTGGGCCCAGGGGAGCATCGAAAGAAGAAGAGACGAGGGGCACGAAATCGGGGAGGTCTCATCGACCCGACCATGATATCCCCTCACCCCTCCTCATCACCTTCCCCTTCGACACCTCCCACTCGCGCCGTTGAGCAGAAACAAAGCGGGTCCTGAATGAAGCGGATCCTGGTTCCCATAGCCTCCTCCTGGGACCAACTTTTCGTCTTGAGTCGCTTTCAAAAGGTCCCAGGGCCAGTGGAGGACCCAGGGATGTCCGAAACGACGAACGACCTCAGGACTCGTTTTCCCAAGGTCCTAAGGACCTGACTGCTTCATGACAACGTTCGCCTGGAATTTGCGTTAAAAATGTTTCTGTCGTCTACGTCCGTACATGGCAATACGCATTGAAAAGTCCAACGGGTGGGCGGGCGAATGGCGGCCCGATTTCAAAATGCGGCGCTCACACTGGCCCCGCACATACTCGTCTCGGAACAGACCAGATGGAGGGATGAACGGATGGAGGGAGAGAGATCCGACTCCTAGCTGCTCCTTCTTCGGCGCCCTGTTTGCAGCATTCTCACGTCCCTTGCATGAAGACACAAGAAAAACAGCGGGGAACTTTCAACTGTTCGGAGGTTCGCGCGGATTTCTTGGATCAGCGCTGGACCCCCCTCCCTGGCGTGCGGAGCGCGCCAAGGGCGGCGCCGGAGGCGCATCCAGGGGCCTCCATCGCCGATTCGAGGAATCCGCGCGGGCCTCCGAAAGTTGATGTTTATGTTTTGGTCTTCCCCGAGGAGGGGCTTTTTTTTGTTTCCCCCGCGTGGCCCGCGCATGCCGCCCCAGCAGCCAGCGCGCGAGAGTGCACAGGACAGCTGGCGCACCGAATTACGACCCCGCTGCGGCTCGTCTCGCCCCAGCCACCACGGGTACACCGCGATAGGATCATGGGATACGCTGTAAGTTACGTTCGTGATCATGGAAGCCTATCTGAGTCAAGATGTAGGCGGATTAGCGGCAAATGATAGCAAGTAGCGGCAGATAGCGGCAACCGATTACCGGTCAAACTGCGGCAGACGCCCTGCGCCAACAATCCACCACAACCCCTATTCGCCGCTAGTGGCTGCTAAACGCCAAACAACAACTCCAGGTGAAAGTCAAGGCTTCCATAAAACACAACTGCGGTAGGGATGCAAGACGACCTGGGACGCCAAGGTTGAAGCCTTGTGAACGGAAGTGGCCAGCAATAGCGGCTCAGGATGTGCCGAGGATGCACAAATGAGAGGGCACCATCGGGAAGCTGCTCATCCGTATGATCCTGTGCGGCCGTACTGCGGATGGAGCCCGAGCTCCTCCAGGGTGTGGGAGCACGTCACGTATGCACATGCACCGACCCTGGGCCAGTCAGATCCTGAAGCCACGCATGCTCTAAAACAGGGCTGAACCTAAGCAGTGTTTTTCGTTTTCGTTTTGTTTCGTTTTCCCTCGCTTTTGTCTCGAATCCGTCTTTACCGCAAAACGAAATCGAAACGAAAACGGCCCACGAAATCATCAAAACACCGTTTAGGTCCAGCCCTGGTCCAAAAAAGGCAGCAGGCGGGCATTAGAGGAAGAACAACAAAAACATACACAGAAACTTCCTGAGGTCCGCGCGGACTTCCTGGATGGCGCCGGACGCCCCTCCAGTGCCGCGCCCGAAGGCGCCGCCAGGGGTGGGGGACCCGGCGCCGACACTGGATATCCGCGCGGAATTCCGGCAGCTTACGCTCGGAAACTTTTGGTAAGCGTGTCGCCGCGGCGGCCCCAGCGACACGATATGCCCTGCGATCGGATAGAATGTCGCTGCGCTCAATGTGGTGGGCGGCTGGGAGAGGCTCGGGACGTTGACGCTGAGGACTCGGACATTGGTGGCGTGTCGCCCCAAGACGTGGTGGGCCAGAACCGGTGGAGCAACACGCTCTTCAAAAGGTACCGACCGTATGTTTGTGCCGTTTCTTGTCCTGATGGGCGCAGCACCCCCCCAAGGCGCGCCCACCTTTCAGTGGCAACTCATCGGAGCCTCCCATGATGTCCAGTTGGCCCTTGCGAATCGACGCTAATCCACGCTAATTCGACGCAAAATCGACGATCATCGACGCTGATCGATGCTAAATCGGCGCTTTCTCATTGTTTACCTTTAAAGGCCGAAATGCGAGGACAAACAAGGCTCCTGTGAGTTGCCATCGAACCACCTCCTACCGGCGAGTTCTCGGCGGGACACTCAGTGGTGGACCCCTCGGCGGATGACTGCCCTGACATCTTTAGAGGTCGGAGGAGCCGCGATCCTCCGCAGCGCAACGGAAGAAGATGGGTGCGCGATAATCGACCCGAACCCCTCCAAAAAAAAGACTGCTCCTGTTGGACCCAAATTGGCCTCTGTCTCCGTCGACATATACTTGATTTCGAGCCCCGTGTACATCGCAGAGCGGGGGGGGGCTGTAAAGGGGCACGCCACCCCTCGAAAAACAAACGCCTTGTCCCGGTTTGTGGCCGCCGCGATCGTCGCGGAAACCTCGAAAAATGAACTGGAGGTTCAGCTCAGGGCCGGGTACCACGCAACGAGAAGAGCTGCACGACGTCGCGCCTGCCGTCCGACGGCAGCTTGCAGTGCACGTTGAAAGGAACAAGGAAAACGGCAGAAGCATAAGCTTTCGGACGTCCGCGCGGACTTCCTGGATGGGCGCCACACCTTCTTGGCGGCGTCTCCGGCGCCGCACCTGGCGCGCTTCGCGCGCCAGCGCGGGGTGCCCACTGCCGATGCAAGAAATCCACGCGGACGTCCGACAATGTATGCTTATGTAGCCTTCCCTTCCTCGAATGTTCTCCAGGCCGCCGCTGAACAACACCACTCGGCCGCGCTTCGGCTGGACCACAGCGCCGCTCAAGAGCCGGCCCTCCTCGATCGAGTCGCAGAAGACCGTCTCGCAGCGGGAGCAGTCGCGCCCCTGGCAGGACCGAGCTTGGATCGACTCGCAAAGTCGGGTCGGCTCGGATGGGACCGCTGGCGACTCGTCCTGCACCGAACCGAAGCCGGCTCGCCACGCCCGGCTCTGGCCGGCCCCGGCCGATGCGGGCCCACCGGGCCCGATCGAAAGGGATCGTGGGCGGCCCGGCCTGGTCGACCAGGTAGACGATGGCGGTCAGGAAGTAGTGCGGGGGCCTGGAGAGGTAGTCGCTGTGCATCTCGCACGGCAGGTCCGAGCGGACGTCGGTGGGGCGCAGAGGCCACGCGGCCCCGTCTCCATCTGCAAAACTAACACCAACTCCGTTCGCGCTTCGCGCTTCGCACCGCGCTGACCACCTCGCACTCTGGCGCCGCCCCCCGGGGGGAGATGACAAAGATGAGGATGAAGAATCGCGAGCTGCGAACCGTGAATGACTTCGCGCCTTCGTGGCGGTCCTCGTATCGGTGGGGGGGAGAGGGCCGAATCTGTGTGCGAAACTCTGCCCGAGTGTGCCGAAACCGGCTTACGAATCTTCCCGAACGCGCCCGAGCGTGACCGAGGTCTTTGGTTCGAAGCCCAAGCGATCTTCAAATTCGGCCACAGTTTCGTTAACACTACGTTGTGGGAAACAATTTCGGGCGTGTGTTCGGTCTCCGATGTTTTCGGTCGCAAGCCGTTTCGGCTGAAGGGGGCCAGGCAGCATGGGAAAAGTGGGGTAGGGGCAGAGATCGGTATGAGGAATATCGCCCCAGACGGCCCCTGGAAGAGGGAGAGGTCAGTTTGCGGCTGGGATCGTTCCCTGACCTTAGGTTCAAGGTCACGGACCCTTCAGTGACGCATGCACGTTTGATTGTCGCTCAAAGGTCGTACTGTTTGTTTTTCTGGGAGCTTCGTTCTGGGACAAAACTAAACAGACATTAGTACGAAAGCTCAACGAATCTATGAAGAAAAAGGGACGAAACTGGAACGTCCCAGCGTTGAACAAGACGAACGTAAAACGAAAAGTGCCGAGCACACGAAAAAGAAACGTGCTCTTGAAGACGCCGCGAGGGCCCCGAGATCCTACATCCACCTGGCCCACATTGGGACAACGACCCCTCTGCGCACCCCCGGGGTATGTTGTGGTCCAGCTGTCCCGCCACCGCCACCAGGGCGCCCGTCCGGAAGTGCACCTCCAGGAGGCCCTGGATGACGCCCGTGCCCTCCCAGAGGTGCAGGCGGTCCCTGAAGTCGCCCACCTGGAGGCACCGAGACTGCACAAGGCACAGACTGCCGGAGGCCCTCGCGGATGCTCCGGGATCGGCGCCGGGCCGCCCGTGCCTGGCGCGCCGAGCACGCCAAGGGCGGCGCCGGGGGCGCCGCCAAGGGAGGACCCGCGCCGATCCAGGGATCTGCGCGGAGCTCCGAGAGTTGATGCTCATGCAAGGGACAAGACTCTATACACCGACGTTTTCTACGGCCCCGCACTGACATTCGCACAAGAAAGCGGATCCTGGCGTATACAGGATCCGGGTGTATACATGTTTTGTTACTTCCACGGGAAAAAACGGGGAACATAGTATACACCACACCACTCCGACGTCGTCCCCGACCCTCACAAAGTTCTGATACTGAAAAACAGCCCGCCACTGGTAATGCGTATGCTCAAGTTTCTGATCATGCTATGCTGCTATGCTTGATCCTTCTTCGGCTGAAGTCGCCCACCTCCTGCAGCACATCCTCGTCGAGCGCGCCGTCCAACACGACTCGCCCGCACCTGACACGGCGCGGCCCGCAGCTGCGTCTGTGGAAGCGGTTGCCGCGAAAGGAGTTGGTGATGATGGAAGGAAGAAAGGCGGTGACCATGTCCAAGACTGAACGCGGAAATGTCGGTGCCGATCTTGGTCACCGTACATCTTGGTCAGCGTCCACTCGTGGATCCTCCTCGCGAATCGGCGTCGGTCGGCATGGACCGTGACCCACCAAGATCGGCGCCGACAGGGTCCCGCGACGTCTCGGTGATGGTCAGCGCGTTTGCTTCCTTCGGGATGAAGGGCCGCAAGCGCTCCAGGTCTGCCTCCGAGTCGAGGCAGCCGAGCTGCGTTGCCCAGGGCACGGAGATGGCCCGGCTGTCGAAGAACACCGGGGGCAACGTCAGGGGGAGACGGGCTAAGACTTTCGAGGTTCGATATTGTTACACGTCGTTCATTTCTAATCTGCTGCTCATTTCTAATTGTGCTCGCTTCTAATTGTTCCTGGCCCCCTAGTGGCCAGGAAGAGGCCCAGGATAGAATAATTAGAAATGAAAGGATCTTGGACCCCAAAAAATCAAACATCTTTCGAAGACTTAGAAATGAACAATGTGTAGATGGTTCCGTCGATTGTCGGTGGTTCTCCAGCCTCGGGGTCCTCTCCAGCAGCTGCGCCTCGACGAGTTCGTTCTAGGGGTGCGCGGATCGTCCCGATGGCCGCTGGAGACCCAAGTTATGACCCGAAAGATGGAGGACGAGAATCACTTGGGGGGGATAGGCTCAGGGGGGATGCATCGACCCCCAGTCGCCCATGCATCGCCCACAGGGGCCCGATAGCCCTATCCCGCCACAGGCGGTGCAGTTTTGGTATGGCGGGCCCATCGCCGATCTATCGGCGATGTATCGCAGCCTCTGGCTCGATGTTTCCCCTCGGAGCCGGTCCCCCTGACGCCTGACGCTGCCCCTGAGAGCACCACGTCGCCTGTCCGTCCGCCGCCGGCGGGATCCGCCTGCAGGATCCACTGGCCCATGGCACCGTAGGGGTTCTCGGCCTGGGCGTCGAAGACCAGCGCGGTGGTATTGTCCACCCCCGGGTGCCCCATGACCGCCGCTCCTGCAGGGAGGGCGCCGAGGCACCGAGCTCGGCCGGGCCCGCCCTGGCTCCGAGACGGGCGCGTGGCTTGACCCTGCCGCCGGCGGGGCCAAGGAAAATCACACGCTCGGAGGAGGACCAGTCGAGGCAAGGCGGTCCGAATCCGGTCAAAATCGGTCCCCGCCGTGTTCCGCCGCGGACAAGGGGAAGAGCACCAGGCAGGAGCGCCTTTCTCTTGACTGGCCCGACGGGCCCTCTTCCGAATCATACAAGGAAAAACTGGAAATGCGTGGCTGGAATCGGAACATCTGGACGTCACGCGCTGGATACGCGTGCGGAAGCCCTGCGAGCAAGGACGCAGAAGTCGACTGCACTCAAGAGCGACCCTGGGTAAGAGTGAACTTTGGTGCGCGGCTTCTGGGGGGCCGCAAGACGCTACTGACGCGGTGGGGGGCCCCCGGTGGGCCCACGCCAAGGGCCACTCCGGCGAGGGGTCCCTCTTGCGTGCAGTCGAGGAGGGGCCGAGCGCTGCCGAGAGGTGTGGCCACGCGCGTGTCCAGCCCTCGCCCGGGCGGGCCGCTCCCTGGCACACCAGAGGCTGGGCCGGGCCCGCAAAGGCGTGGGCCTGCCCAGGCTCAGCGGCAGCGTGCTCCCGTGCAGTGGAATCGCTGCCGCAGGGAACCCTGAACGTGGAGCGAGGCCCCTCGTCTCCAGAGTTTTCAACTTCGGTCTACCACAGAGCGGACCGAAGGAAAACCCGAGACAAGCTGCAAAACAAGTCAAGAGTACTGGGCCCCTCCCCAACGAAAAGGGTTCCTTTTCTTCGCGGCCCGACTGTATGCGGCCAGATCGCGGCGGCGGCGCCCCGGCGACACGCCATGCCCTGCAAACCGGCAGCGCTTCGCTCCGCTTTGCAGGGCGGGCAGCCCAGGAATCGTGCCGAAGCAAAGAAAGAAAGACGGCATGGGCACAATGTCTCAGAGGTCTGCGCGGATCTCCTCGATTTCGATCGGCGCTCGACCCATCCCTGCCGCGCAGAGCCAGGAGAGGGCGCTGGAGTCGCCGCCAAGGGGTCCAGCGCCGATCGTGGAAGTCCGCCCGGGCTTCCGAGGAATTGCAATTCTGCAATGTTCCTCAATCATCATGCTGTGCTGGGTCCTCGATTTGAAGAGACAGCGCCGCGCGTCTCCTTCCTCCCTCCTCCTTGATCCTTCTTCCGCTCCCTCCTCGCTTCTCCCATCCAGGCTATGGCCGTTTCATTCGGTGTGGTAATTTCTCGAGTAGGAGATCGACCACATAATTGATTTACCGCAGCTTTTTCGCCAGAACTGTGAAGGATACAAATGCTGCTCGCAAATATTCGAACATTATCGTACATCCTCTTTGTAGATTCGCCAAGGAATTCTGGGGTAGTCGATCTCTTACTCGAATTTCATCTGGACAAGCCCATCTCTCTCAGCCCCCAGCCGTCCGCCCGGCTCGGGCGGCAGTGTCTCTCCCGGCACCGCCCCACGCTGCGGATTCGGTCCCCCGCCAGACGCAAGCGTCCGCAACGCTTGCGCAATGGCTAAGAGGCTCCGGGCATCAGCAGGAGAAGCTGACCTCCGACGTCGTGATTTTTTCACAACGTCGACCCTCAGAGGTCTGGACCCATTCCCAGGGGCTGGTTTTTCATCCTGAGTCGTTTTTTGACGGTCCCGGATCCCAGAGAGGGCCCTGGGAGGCCGAACATAGCGAAAGCCTCCGCCCCGTCGTGTCCTGTCCACACCTTGAGTGGGTCTGGGGAAGCTGACCTCTGTGCCGCCCCTCAAGGCTCCCACGAACGGACACCGAAGCCGACCGCAGCCGACGACCCCCCCTGGGCCTTGGGCCATTCTTAGCGCAGGCAGCACACCCAGGGCTCGCGCGACGAGCGCCGCCACCATGCCGCCCAGAGGGCTGCCCCCGCGGAGCCGGGGGATCTCTGGAAGGAGGGGCCTCGAGCTGGGGCATCGCGAAGCGTTCGGAGGGCGGCGTGGGGCCCGAGACGGCAGGCGAAGACGAGGAAAAGACCAGCGGCGGCAAGCAGGGAGAGGCAAACGACGGCAAAGATGGGCCGGCACGAGCATACAACTCTGGGGCTCCGCGCGCGCATCTCTTGGACCGGCGCTCGACCCCAGCATCTCTTGGACCGGCGAATCTCTTGGACCGGCGCATCTCTTGGACCGGCGCTCGACTTTCGGAGATCCGCGCTGGACCGCGCGGATCTCCGGAAGAGTATGCTTGCGCTGCGCAGGTGAGGGCACTGGACAGGGATCCCTCTGATAAGGAATCCAGGGCCTGGACGCCAGTGGAGCACCCATTGAGGCTTGGCCATGGACATCACCGCCGCCCTCGTCAGACAAGGAATCCTGGGCACCTGGTTTTGGCGCATCCTGGGCACCCGCCGCCATCTAGGTGTTGACGCATACTGGGCACGTTCCTCAACGAACTCCCCCAACGTATGCACTGAAACATGCTCCTGGAAACGAAATCGCATCCTCGCAGTGACGCCTCCGCGGCTAGCGCGCGCGCGCCTTCGCGTGTGCACTTTTCATCCGCGCCGCAACAAGCAAACGTCGAACGCTCCCGCTGTGGGGGGGCCGAGCATGCCTGTTCCATTCCTCGCGGGTGCCCGGGTGTGGAAACAGGCGGCAAGGAAGGCGCGATCCAATGACAGATCCCTGAGCACGCATGACGCTACCTTGCTGCCTACCTGATCCTTTCCCCGCTCCTTTCTCCTACCCCGTTGGACATTCTGGACGGAAGTGCTTTTGCAGCTTCAGCGCGTGCCCGGTTTACTTCTCAATTTAAGCAAGGCATCCACGCTGGAATGCCCTGAGTTCTTCAGGCTCAAGAAGATTTTGACCCTTCCGCGTACATACTCCGATATCCTTCGCCCTTTTGTTCTTACTGGATTCTCGCAAAGGCCGTCCAAGAAACAAGTCTGGCAGTGTGCTTTAGATACGGTGTCCTTCGGGCGGTGGCGACGACCTGAATTTCCTGCGTGCGGTAACGAAGGTGGCGTGGCGTGAATGTCTTGTCACCGTGCGCGCTACAGGCCGATTGCCAGCAATCCTGTTGGAGAACGTGTCATGCAACGCCGCCGCTGCAGAGAAGAGGCACATACCTCTGTATTTCCTCGTTCCCCCATCTTGGCACGCCCGGAATGGGTGTGGACAAAAGGGGCACGATGCCCAACAACGGGTGTTGTCCAAAACCGGCAACGGCCGCTGTTGGGCAGGCGACCTCTCGCTTCAAATGGACAACGCCCATGGCGGCACCGGCATGTTCAAAGTGGGCAGGAACTGCTGTTGGTGTTCGTCCCCATTCTTTCCGCTCCCCTCTCCCTGGTCCAGCACCGCTGCTGGGGCCGCTCGCAGGGGCACCATAATGGTGAAGTCGACGTCCACGCCCTGCTGCCAGGTCGCATGTTCATCGTGCTACTATTGTAGCACCGCCCTCAGGGGACATTCGAGGCACGCTCGTGCAATGCTCTCAGTCGAACCAACAAGCCTGGTCCTTCCTCGCCGCCTTGTGGCGGCGTCTGCCTTCGCGGCAACTCCTCCTGCATCCCTCTCCCCCTTCGTGGGCGTCCACGGGTGTGAGTCCCAAATCGTGGCCCGACGCATGCGCGCGGCCCAAAGGGGGGGGCACAGAACGTTTGGAGATAAGAGCAGAGAGGCATGAAACCTGGGAGAATGCATGGCCCCGCCATGAACTGCTCTCCCCCCGCCCCCGTCATTTCCCGCCCCCCCCCCCCCTCGAGGGGGAGGGGGGAAATGACCCCTGCGCAGCCAGGCGTGGCGGTTGGCCCCGGGCCTCGGCCGGCGACCCCGGCCGCAGCCTGCTGCGGAGGGCTGGGGTGGCAGCACCGGTGGCGTGCTAGGCAGTTCGGCGTGTTCTCCGCAGGGGCGCCGACGGGGGTGCATGGCTCAGGGGGAAGGGGGGGGAAGCATCGGCCCCCAATCGGCCCATGCCTCGCCAAATCTGGGCCTGGGGGCGGGGTGGAGGCAGCCTGCCCGGGAACACGGGGCGTCCCCCTCGGGGGCACATCGCCGATCGATCGGCGACGCATCGTGGACTCCACGTCCGTGTCCCCTGGGCCAAAGTCGACCGGAGTCGATGCCGACGGTCCAGCGAGGCCCGTGCAGACTTCCACCCTGCTCTCGCCAGGCCCGCCGCGCGCCGCGGGTGCCCGTGAGGTCGATCTGGGGCCGCCTGCCGGACGAGGGCCAGGCGATGTCTTGCTCTGCCCGCGGAACTGCACCGAACGCCTCGAAAAGGGGATCGACAACATGATTGATGTACCCCCAAAGTGATTTCCCCGCCGAATTTGCGAACAAGTGCGTGACATGTTGGTAGGTCTACGGGACATGTTGGTAGGTTCGGATGGAGATCAATTCTGGAGCAAATCAATTCTGTAGTCGATCCCCTACTCGAACGCCTGAGGGCACACAAACTGCATTACCGCTCTTGCCCCAGCAACTGCAGCAACTGTCCATTGCTTGAAGGCTGCCTTACAGGCATGCCAGAGCTGGATCGAGGTTGGTGTATCAAAATGTTATTATTCTAATGAGAGAAGCGCACCATGCGCAACGAGTGAAGCTGAATGCGTCGTGGACCCATGCAGAGGGCAATGCAGTACAGCCATAAATATGAGCAATAACTGTATCACTTAAGAAGCCTGGGCCAACTTTCCCAGGGTTTTTTGAAACAAAACGGGGCCAAGTGTTCAAGTTAACTCTGGAAGGGCAAAGAAGCTCACGAAACTGGGCCAGCTGTTCGGCAACTTGGCTAAGAAACGCTGGCCAAGCTTTTCGGGGGGAGACTTCGTTTCTCAATCATATGCTCGGCCAAAGGCCGTGAGGTTGTTCGTCCGCCTCGCCTTCACGTAATAGATACATCGCACTCGCGCTTCTACATATCCTTTTGGGCCCTAACATACACTGCGAACAGGGGCAGTGCCCGAACAAGTGGCACGCGTGCCATTGATCTTGCAAACAGAATACGGGGGACACGGAGGACGTGGAGGAAAATGGGAGAGGGGGGACTAAGAAAGGAGACAGACCAATACATCCGCCGACCTGATTTTTTCATCCGCGGCCCCAAAGGTCCCAACCCCATCCCCAGGGGTGGTTTTTCGTCCCGGATCCCTTTTTGTTGGTCCCAGGGCCCGATCACGGGCCTGGAGAACGACATCCAGGAACAACCGCTGGATTGAAGAAGTCACATCCTCGGATCTCTGAGGATGAGAAACAGGGGGAGGACCATGTTATGAGGGGCCGAACGCGACGGAAGCAAAGGGCGAGGCAAAGAAGCGGGACAATGGAGACGGAGGACGGCGCGGT